TAATGCGTTTCTGTTCAGCAATTCGTTAGTTTCGTGCTTTTGGTGCACATATGGACTTTTTTGCCCGGTTGTTGTTTGGATGTGACACCGAAACCGACCGCATGACGCTTTAACCTTGCAATAGGTCTCTTCCCAAATAAGACAAGCGCCCCGGGTTCTCTGCAGAGCCATGACTCCCATTATGTCTCAGCTTGTAACGTGCAAGTTCTGTTTAAGAAAGTGTTTTACACTATAAGGGCGTAAGTTGCACAGGACGGCTAGAGCTGTAGATCTCATCCCCGTGTAGGGGGACTTGGTCACTTCTAAACGTATATATGGACTGCGACTGATTCGATGGCGGATTGCTACTAGGGTGAAATGGTCTACATTTTTATACGTATTATATGGTCTATAGATCAACATTAAGGAGACTCGGACGGAATGATTTACAGTCTATGCCTTTTATCGCTATAGCGATCCTCCAAAACCTGGGTGCTCTTAACACGACTTATGTACATGCGTGCCGTTGGACTTTCGAGCAGTGTTTTTGGGTTAAGTGCATATGTCACAATGCCTTTCCGTCAATCACTCCCTGATTTTCGAAGCATGTTGCGCCACTGCATCGTGGAGTGCCGGTCTACCTGCAACTTTTTTACGGTGATGACAATATTTCCCAGATTTTTCCCCAAATCTGTATTTGTTCTAACCTTTCTGACACCCTTCATTGTTTTGAGCTTTGTGTGTTGCATCGACCTCTTGTAACAGCAATTACTTTGACTAATTGTGTTATTCTGAAATTTCGCTAACCCATTACATCCTTTTGCAGGCAAAGGTTGCTGTTCATCTCGAAGAAATATGAAAGCAGTCTGCTGTCTCTCGGGTGACGGAAGTGCAAAAGGCGTTGTCAGGTTCTCTCAGGAGGTAAATTTTCGTTCATTGTGACTTGCCTGTTTTGCCACATAGTTACCCTGTTACCATGGCTTCTTTTCAATCGCAATTAACAGAGGCGACATTCCCTGTTTGTAATTCAGCGTCTTGTTACAATCTTGATGTAGGATTTGTCCTCTTGACGTTATTAAACAGGATGCCGTTTATGTATTATGAACGCATTTATGGTATTTGGTCCAGTTCCTTTTGCAGCAGCAAAAGAAGTTAAGTTGCTTTCCTGCATGACGCGCATCCTTTAAAAACGGTTTGAATAATTATGTCCAAATCGGCCGAGAACTAAGGTTGTCAGCCGAAGTCCGCCGTCCGGTCCTACGGTTCAATAACATAGTATAATGACAACTGTTTCTAG